AATGTTGTTTAATACTGCTTATCCAGAGCATTTACGTAAATATTTGTATCTATAAAATAGAATGTATAAACATAAAAATGTCTTAAAACAAAATTCAATGTAAATCTTTTTTTAAATAGAAGTTATCTTGCATGTAAGAATATTAATTAGGCGGGCATCAAGAACAAAACAAAATATATGCGCTTTAATTAAGAAAGAATTTGCAAACATTTATTTTGCGATTAATTAATTTTCTAACTTATCTTAAATATAGTTTTAGTTTTCGTCCTAATAAATTCAATAGCTTGGAGATTTTCTTGAACTCTGTATTTACAAAAAAGCAATATTACAAAATAATTTAATCACGCAGATTTGCAATTGAACATGAATAATTTAAAACTTTCCGAATAATTACGTTTCATCATTAACATTCAGTGGTTCCGAATGATGTATGTTAATTTAGAAGGAACATAAATATTAATCCGATTATTAAATATTAAAATGACTTCCATATATTTGTTTTTAAATTCACAACGATCGCTAGTGACTTGTCAGAAAGATTATTACATTTGTGCATTCTGACTGTTCTTAGATTAATCAAATATATTAACAAAATAGGATTGTAACACATCAACGCATCTGATAATCGTGACTAAGATATAAAAATCTCACAAACTGTGTACGATAAACCGTTGATCTGATGGAGTGTAAGAAAATGGAAAAAGAATAAGAGGAACTTGGGAATTACAAACCTTGGAGAATATTAGAATTTATATCGGTTTCATAACAGGAACCACACTTGAAACTATTTCAAAATGCTAAAATTATGATCATGTTCCTTGAAAATTAAAGATAGCGTTAGTGCGGTCGGCTAGGATAGTGACAAAAGTGCTTACAAATTTGGTGTAGATTTCAGGACATTTGCTCGCATTCATTTTTGTACAATAACCGCCAGATATGTTATGTTAATATGCTAATGAACGAATAATCATCATAATAACGAGTACATCCCCCACCTTACGAAGGGCTTTATCTATGTAAAATATGTTGTTTTTTTTTTGCTTTTTTATTTTAATTGCTCAATGGAAAATTCCATGATGTCATTTCTGACCTAGGACTCTGAAACGGAGCCGGAAATAAATGAGTACACACCAGAAATCAAAGCAAATAATAATAATAATAATAATAATAATAATAATAATAATAATAATAATACCTTGAAATAGAAATCGCGAAAATGTGGCATATGGGAACATCAACAATCCCTGTTGTAGTTGGAGCCCTAGGACTGATTGGAAAAGATTGCAGTAGACTAATTGAAGGGATTCCTGGAAGTCCATTCCTCAAGGAGATACAAAAAATTGTTCTGACAAGTACAGCCCACACTTTACGAAGGGCTTTATCTATGTAATTTTTTTTTTCTTTTTTTTTTTTTTGTCAGTGGAAAGTGTTATGATGACATTTTTAACCTTAGGTCCCCGAGCGGGATCCGGAAAGAAATGTGCAAACGCCAGAAATCAAAGAAAATATTAATAATAAAAATAATAATAATAATAATAATAATAATGGTGATAATAATAATAATAACAACAACAACAGTAGTAGTAATAGTAATAGTAGTAGTAATAATATTGATGACGATCACGATGATGATTCCGGATGCCACTGGATCTAATTCTTACCTAAACAAAAGTCAGGCTGGTCTCCAGAACGAGGTCACACTTAACTCTGACCCTCCAGTTCTACCCTCAGCGGATGTCAAATATCAAAAAGCAAAGAGACAAGAAAAAAATATAAATAAGTGACGTATTTGTCTATGTTTCTGAGATGAGTTATTGTAATTATGTACATGATTTATATTGTTCGGACTGTTGCTCTCATATTTATTGTCATACTCACGATGTTTCGGCCGTTGTATGCTCCAACCGTCTTCAGTCGATTGAAATGTCGATCTGAAACCTTGATTTCATCCGCCGGGGTAGACTGTTGTAAATCCAATCCTCGAGTTGTGAGTTCAATACCTAATACTTCAGTGGTGTACAAAATTTGGAGAGTGGAGTTAAAGGTAGATTAGCAGTAACATGGCCCGTGGAACTAGAACAATCTACCCCGGTGGACGAGATATAGGGTTCTGTTCGAAATTCCAATCACCTGAAGAAGGTCGGAGCGTACAATGGCAGAAACGTCGTGAATATGGCAATAAAGATGAAGACACCAGCCCAAACACTGTTAATAATGTAAATAAGTGAGGTACTGTTTCTACTTTACACGAAATAAAACTGTGAAAAAAACTTACGAAATATACGTACCAAAATTGAATTTCTTTTTTCAGCAGCCGCTTGTTTAATTAAGTAAAAGTAACAACAAAAACATCACGTCCTGTCATTATAAAACATTCAATGAAAAAAAAATAACAAATTTTCAAAATATAAAAAAAAACGGGAATGAAAACATCAATAATTTGTTATTTAAATACAGTCGTTGTCCCCGACGTTGTCCCCGTGGTTGTCTTCGTCGTTGTCTTCGTCGTTGTTCCCGTCGTTGTCTTCGTCGTTGTCCTCGTCGTTGATCTCGTCGTTGTTTTCGTCGTTGTTCTCGTCGTTGTTTTCGTCGTTGTCCTCGTCGTTGTCTTCGTCGTTGTCCGTCGTTGTTGTCGTTGTCTTCGTCGTTGTCTTCGTCGTTGTCTTCGTCGTTGTCCCCGTCGTTGTCTTCGTCGTTGTCTCCGTCGTTGTCCCCGTCGTTGTCTTCGTCGTTGTCCCCGTCGTTGTCTCCGTCGTTGTCCTCGTCGTTGTCTTCGTCGTTGTCTTCGTCGTTGTCCCCGTCGTTGTCCCCGTCGTTGTCTTCCTCGTTGTCCCCGTCGTTGTCTTCGTCGTTTTCTCCGTCGTTGTTGTCGTTGTCCCCGTCGTTGTCCCTGTCGTTGTCTTCGTCGTTGTCCCTGTCGTTTTCTTCGTCGTTTTTTCCGTCGTTGTCCCTGTCGTTGTTCCTGTCGTTGTCTTCGTCGTGGTTTTCGTCGTTGTCCTCGTCGTTGTCATCGTCGTTGTCCCTGTCGTTGTCTTCGTCGTTTTCTCCGTCGTTGTCTCTGTCGTTGTCCCCGTCGTTGTCCCCGTCGTTGTCCCCGTCGTTGTCTTCGTCGTTGTCTCTGTCGTTGTCCCCGTCGTTGTTCCAGTCGTAGTCTTCGTCGTGGTTTTCGTCGTTGTTCCCGTCGTTGTCCCCGTCGTTGTCTTCGTCGTTGTCCCCGTCGTTGTCTTCGTCGTGGTTTTCGTAATCTTCTCTTTTTTATGTGCCGTATTTCTTCAGAACATGATCGATCATGGCTCTCCACAACTTTCTGTCTTTCGTATCCCTTACGTAACTTTGTCTTTTTGATATATCGCTGTAGTAGTAGGATTCACCTAATTTGCATAGTGGAGTACCGACCATATAAATATGGTTGGTACCGGGAAGAGAGGGTGGAATCAAGAGATTCAACCAGAGACTCTGCCCGACTGCGACTCAGTCAACACATTCTCCAGGAACGGTCTTACCAGGAATATACAAAAGACTATATGTAAATATTGTGTACACTTTCCTGTTTCAATACATTTTGTTCTAAGTACATTTTGTGTTGCATTATTATTCCATGCATTAATCAAGTTTCAACAATCTCCCACTATTCTACTAATCATAAGAGCATCCGAAAAATTAAAATCAATCCTAATAGGTACGTTAAGAAAATCACAGAAACAAATGTCATCACTCGATACGATCGTCTATGCTCATATACGAAAAAGATCTCTATCAATGTAATATTTTCAATAACTTTTTAAATAAAACATTCCTTAAGACCAGTATCAGATAAAAATCCAAGAAATGATTGTATCAGACGTTAACACAGAAAAACTGGAAATAATAATCATAGTAAGAATACAGAAAATTGTCGTCACGAGGACAGCCCACAACTTACGAAGGGCTTTGTCTATGTAAAATATGTTTGTATTTTTTTTAGTGGAAAACCATGCCATGATGCCATTTCTAACTTTAGGTCCCTAGGCGGGATCCGGAAAGAAATGAGTACACATCAGAAATCAAAAGAAATAAAAAAATAATGATAATTGTAGAATGGATCAAAAGATAAGAAAGAATGAAGGTGAAATCTCTTCAAGAGTTGCCAAATATAACCACAAATAATGTTAGGCAAGTTCTAACGAAATCACAAATATGAAAATCCCCAGGAAATGACAAGGTACCCAATTTTTAGATCTATCACCTATCATCAATCCATAAACCACTTGCACAAATTTTATCAAGGCTAATTAATAATCCCGATAAAGTTCCAGAATGGATCACTGAAGATATTACATATTTCGTGCGAAAACAGACTGAAACAGATAATTCGAAAACTTAAAGGGCAATGACATATCTGTCCACCTCATATAAACTGATCACGTCTACCCTGACGAAATGTATCTACTCTGTTCTCGATCTAAACAACATTCTTTCCTTGGGACAGAATGGATGTTGGCGAGTATCATATGGTTGCAAAGATCAATTATTGATAAACAAAATGATCCTGGAAAATTGGAGGAAAAAGTTAGAAATCTCAGCACAGCATGGATAAATTACCGCATACTTTTGGATCCTTACGGCTTTAGGAATGTACAAAGTCTCCGGTGATGATAAATGTCTTTTTAAAAAGCATGGCGATATGGAAAATCACATTATACCTAAGTCACATAAAATGGCACTGCCACGGTCAATTGCCTGAATATCCAACGAGGAAACTTTCAAGGAAACTCGCTGTCTTCCCCCCTCTTGTTTTGTCTATTCTTAATCCTCATTTCGCCTTAACTATACAATAATCGCTACGGATACAAAGTAAACAAGAAAGTATTTAATCACTTACTCTATAGTGATGATCTCAAAGTCTTTTCCAAAGACGACAATGAGTTGAAGTAAAATGTTCCAGTGACGTCATAGGTATGGATTTCGGATTAGATAAATGTGCAAAACTAACATTCAAGAAATGGAGAATTACAGAAACACACTCAATAGATCAAGATTTTGTCAGAAGAATTAGGGAAGTGCAACAAGAAGAAGCCTGTGGGCACCTAGGAATTAGCGAAGGATATGGAATACAGCACACCAAAATGAAGGAGAAAGTAATAAAAGAATACTGCAGGAGCGTGCGTTTAATGTTAAATAACTGTTTGAATTCACAAAAACAGATTATCAGCCATAGAAAAAACTCTCGCTGTGCCTCTGGTGCAATACTGTTTCTACATCCTTAATTGAACCTTTGCTGACATTAAGTGAAAGGATGTCAATACGAGAACGCTTCTCATTTACACTGCATGCATCAACCTCAGATTGATGTTGATCGTCTGTATGTGTCCAAGTAAATTTGTATTGATTTCTTTGCTTTACTGTAGGAAATTATACAATAAAATTATGTTCGTTTTCACTGAATTTTCGATGTTCATAGTCTTCTGCCACTTGGCTTTCATTTCATATAAAAATAAAATCTTCCCACATATTTTGTGACATACATTTTTTTTAATGTTCCAGAGTTTCCTAAATTATCGTTACAGTAATTTAATTTCCCCTTTAGTACTACATTCAGTTGCCTATTCACGCCAAATATTTGCTTCTTATAGTCGAAGGCTGAATAACAGCCAAACCCCTGATTACTGGGTATGTTAGGCTCTCCATTTCATAGACACCCGTGTATAAAATTTTATCATTAATTTAGTATTAATTATAATGGTAGAATCTTCTAAATTATAAATAATCCTTCACAAACACATAGGAAATTCCGTCGGAAATTGTCAGAAGTACATTTCGGAAGATAAGTACAAGACATTATGCAAGTTATTATGCAAATCAAATTAGCCCCAATAACTCAAAATATTCTCTTACTCATGCGTTACATATATAGTTAGGTGGTTTGCTTAATTTGATAATGGGATCGCATGTGTTTACTCACTGGAGATCTATGTTCAAACTCAAGTGTCGGCAGCGACACTTAACTCCTATATAAGAGTGGCTGTCTTTACTAATATTTGCTTTAACACTTTGAGCCCGGCGTTCCTGAAACATTTTAACCCTTCTGCTTGTGATGCTGAGTCAAAATTCGCAAATAATTGGTAATGTTTCACGGTAGATATAAAAATAGTTACAAATGTATAAACACCGTTCAACCGGTGGCTGAGCATTACGTCATTTCTCTCTACCTCCGGTAAAGCGGTGGTCAGGGCTCAAATGCTTAGAGTACATCAGTGATACTATGCATCGTATCAGATCACATGTATACAGCATGCGTACATGATCATTCTACAAACCTCTTTTATTTTATTCCTTGGTTTCCCATTTTAGAGGTTATATATATTTATATATATATATATATATATATATATATATATATATATATATATATATATATATATTTAGACAGCAGTCCTTCTTTCATGCACATTTCATTGAATACGACAGACATGGTGGTTTTATTTAGTTTTTTTTATACATTTTCTCATGTGATCTAATATTTTTCTTCGGATGATAAATTATATAAAATACTGCCCGAATCTTCTTTTTATCCAAGCGCTTTCGGCTATGTATCTAACCATTTTCAAGGATTAAATATTTTAACTGTTAAATAAAAAATAGTTTCTCGTATGTATGTTTTATGAAATGTTTTGATTTTTCAAAACACAGTCAAGATGTTGTGTCCATGTTCAAAGTTAAATTATTAAGTGTTGGTTTTTTGTTTTTATTAATAAGTGTCTTTTATTAATAAGTGTGTATAAATAAATCATTTCTTATCTAACAGTTAAAATATTTAACCCTTGAAAATGGCTTATATATATATATATATATATATATATATATATATATATATATATATATATATATATATATATATATATGTGTGCATATATATATATATATATATATATATATATATATATATATATATATATATTAATTCTGGGCAAATGATTGCGCACTGTTTGGCTGTGTGAATAGTTTACACGCCACGGATTAATATCGTATGGAATCTATTGTACTCTTTAAAACACTTTCTTTACTACAAAGATTTATTGAGTGAACAATTCTTAAAAAAAACAAAAACCAAAAAAAAAACATGGGCCCCTAATTACTACATAATTATTTCATTTAAGCCATTATTAACAGTTTTTCTTTTATACGAGAAGTATCGCATACTATTTATATATGTACAGCTATCGATACTAAAAGGAAAATAGTGTTTTGCTGGCCCCGGTGTTATACTTTTGACAATATTATTTTATACTCCGCAGTACAATACTTCAAGTGTTATTCGAGACTAGGCTAAACTATACAGGGGTTCAATTTGAAAAAGGGATTAATCAAGCTTCTACATCGCTAATGCCGTTTTGGGGTGAATTATATTTCTCCTACTAATCACCAAGTCATAAATTCCAGTGCTTTTGTTCTGTTTTTTTCTCCAAATAAACATGCAGTGGGGTGAAATAAATATTCGTACACATTAAAAAATTGTAATTTTACAAATGTAAAAGCCTTAACTAAAACAAATTTTGATACATTTAATGTGTAATATTACATTTTATTAAAAAATAGTAATAAACCTAATTAATTCTTATTCGAACAGAAATTAATGCATTTTTTTCATTTTAACTGATGAAAAAAGTATTTGTTCTAAACAAAAAAATCATATCAACTTAATTTAATACTATGTGGAATATCCTTTATTGAGTTCAACAGCTACCAGTCTATCATGTATGTCTCAACTAATGATTTGCACACACTGAGTGGTATTTTGTCCCATTCTTCCTGACATATTGTCTTCAAATTCTTGGTATTTGTTGGTGCTCTTTTCCCAATATGAATTTTCAAATATCGCCATAAATTCTCGATTGGGTTCAAGTCTGGGGACTGACTTAGCCATTGCAAGACATCAACGTTACTTTCAGCTAACCATTTCCCTGTAGATCTAGCGGTATACTTAGGATCATTATCCAGTTGGAAAACCCAATCAGGAGGTAGCCGAAGTCTCTCAACAGAACGCATTAAATTATCTTTCAGGATTTTCTGGTATCTTTCGGCATTCATCTTTCAATCTATTATTGATATTCTGCCAATACGTTTTGCAGAAAAACAGCCCCAGATCATGATACTGCCACACCAAACTCTACAGTTGACAACATGTTCTTTGGTAAGTAGGCTTCACCGTTCTTCCTCCACGCATGATTTCGATAATTATGACGAAACAACTCTAT